CTAGTGCCGATTATTTTACGTTGCTTTGCTCACAAAATAAGAAACCTATATGTAATGTAACTTTCCGTCTAGAGTCCAGCTTGAAATCTGTAGGCATTTTATTGCCTGAAAGTGTTAGGGCTAGGGCTTACGTTTTATGAATTCAATTGATTAGACGTACTTTTCATTATTTTAATTTATTTAAACAACTAAAAATATAAAATTTGGGGGAAAATAAACTGGAATTTAGAGGGAAAAATGAAACAGGACATGGAGCAAAGCATCAACCTGCATTGCTTTCAGGTCAAGTATTTTAATGCTTTAAGCTAGTTTAAACAATTGAAACCTTGTCCCATATTAAAAGCGCAGCCTGTATTACTGGACAAATTAATTACAAGTAATGATTGTAACATTCATGCAGAGGTCAAAGCAACATGTTACATTTGTTTAGAGGTGCATTTGACATCATCTGGATTATGATGAACAGGACTAATGGGACATATTTTGGTCAGGGTGGAAAGAAAATATATTAATAAATCCTCATGCTTTTTTTGTGAGATGAGAAGACCCCGCTTGGTCCATTCCCACACCCAGGCAAACCATGAATGTTCTATAAGCTTCTTCCCATGATTCAACAGTTGTCCGCAATCCCTCTGGTGGCATATGAGGTTCCTCTTATAGTAAGAGTTTCATGCATATTTTCACCAGAGGTCCCCAATGTTCAAACTCATGCACATGTGCTGTGCGTTTTTGATTACCAAGGGAACATATTGTATTTAAAAAAAAAAACATTTCATAATCAAAAATAATAAACACATTGTTCAAAAATAACTAAATTCATAAAAGGAAGCACTTGGTCTTAGTTGTAAATGTTTTGCGGTATGAATAAAGATTTACAGTCATGCTGTCTGCATTTGAGTGCATTTAAATGCATGATCTTACATCAGATAAAGCTTAAAGGAGCATTTCACACATTTCAACATTAAGCTTTATTGAAAGGGGATCATAAACGTAGTCGAAATGTAAAACAATTTTTGAATTTGGTGCCCTCTTGACCGAGAAAATAACCGAGGGGCGCATTTGTTTGTAAGACACCAACTCCCACAATGCACCGCTTTGCACAGCTCCGCAAGCCACACCCACTAATCTAGAACTGCGCAAACAGAGAAATCAAATCAGATACTTTAAGATTCTACAAAATGTGTATAAGATCTTTGCATGGTCTCTTAAAATGTTAAATTTTCAAATTTTTGGTAAATTGTAATGAACCATTTTACACATACATTTTTAATGATTAGACGTGTGTAATTTAATTTGGTATTTACATTTACCGCAATCACATTCGCCAAATGTTTTATTTGTTTATCAGTATATGTTTTCTTTGAGAATCAAACCCATGACCTGCTAGTTCCACATTCTACCTGTCAAGCTACAGGGAGTTTTATGTTAGCATTTGTTTATTTAGCCTATGCTTTTTTTTCTAAAAGTAAGCAACCTGTTTTTTAGGAACAACAAACCCCACATGTAATTTCCCTCTGGCTTCACCTCTGTTATTTGTAAATATCAAGCTAATTAGAGCTGAAATTACATGCAAAAAAGCCATGCCAATCATGGCAGCGCTGCTTTTTTCTGCTGCCGCGAGAGGGTGGCTTTCAAACTAACGCTAGCACAGTCTAATTACATAGATATTTATATTACATAGAACTTCATAAAAATGTATTTTCCTTTGAGATCAGTCTGACTAAAAGGGCTGTTTCAAAGAGTACACGCTGCGTCAGGCTCCAGTAACCACTTTTCTAATTCATTCAATTTGATGCTGCAAAAACAGGTACGCTCCGGCTCAGATATTGAGGAGGTGGGGGACTATGTCCTTGATAGGAGAGACAAACAACCCCTGAACATGCACACATGCACGTAACCTCACTTAACACACATACACGCTTGCACACACACACAGTATATTACCCCCCTATTAGTGTGGCTCAAATGGAAACCGTGTGTTGCCGTGTCAGGGATGAAACTCTATACTGCGGACTGAACCTGGCTCTCCGTTGGGACCATGGGAGCCCAAATAACAAATACCGCAGAGAGAGATGTGCATCACAACATCTATTTTCTCTAGAGTCTGTCTAGACACAACAGTCTTTAAGTCTCTTTATTCAGCATTGATTACTCGTCATGCTCTTGCCCGATTGCATTTTCCGAGTCGCTTCATTATTGTTTCTACTCCCAAGATGTCATCTCCATTGCAGTCTGTCTCTGTCTTGCTTCCCATGGTGAGCACTATTGATCAGTATCAACATGCCAAGGCAGTGAAAGTCATTCTTTAACCTGCTGACACTGAATGCGATATACATCAGACTCATGACACACATTTAAAATGCATGGGTTGAAACAGTCTGCAGCTTGACAAAATACATGTAGTAATTATGCATCCAAACCCTTTAACACCCTTTTGACAAGAAAAACAGAAGGTTTTTCCACGTGGAGTAAAATACTTTCTCTAAAAGACTTTTATAACTAGAATCAGACTGTTGTGGATCAGCCAAGTTCCTCCCCAAATTCAGTTATTCTTAACATGCCTCTAAAATTATTTTTGCCATAGTTCATCCAAAAATTATTTAAATAATGTTGTTATACCCTACCCTACCCCCCCCCCTCTCCCATTTTTTATTACTTCAATTATTCTTATAAATTCATGCATTAGAAAAAAGATCTGAAAAAAGTGTATTGAATGTGTACAATAGTGTATTTTAGATCTTAAAAAGTATATTTTTAGAAATACTACAGTACTTGCAGATAATATAATCATGTTTCCCAATAAATTTAAGTGCCCTTTGTAATAATGTCAAATAATCAAAAGTTTTACTTTAAATTATATTAAATCATTATGTTTTAACAATATTTTGTTGTGCTTTAAAAAAAACCCCGTCTAGGTTACAACTGTAACCTCCGCGTGAACCGATGTCTGAAACGCTTATCTAACCACGACAATCCTTTTGACCCGGCGACAGCCGATGACATCACTAGTGCAACCCCGAAGTATAAAAGGGAAGCCTGGAGAACATGTCAAGAACTTATTGTCTGAGGGGACTGTTCAGCAAGCATCCCCGAGGCATGACGAAAAGACACAGTGTCTCGTTCCCTGTTCGCGTAATGTTCTGGTTGTGTATGCAACCCACTGTTCCCTGAAGGAGGGAACGAAGGACCTAGTCGACGGTCGATCCCGTCAGACAGTTCCCTTTCGAAAGAGAAGTACACTTATTGTCTAGTGTTACATCTAGTGTTACATACTAACATATGTACTAAAACAGTGTTTCCCAAACTTTTTTTCTGGGGACCCACATTTTAAAGTCGATAAATCTTTGTGACCCAATAAACATAAGGCCCATATAGTTCATATATCACAAAGAGAATGTATGTATTAACAAAATATGTATGACCATTTTTAAGGTCAGTTAAGCTTACAGTTAACTATTTAAAAGAGATACAGATATTTGACAAAGCACAATTTTTTTTATTAACCTGTTGTTGACAATAAGCGAAAGAGTTGACAGGGCATCTCACTGTTTTAATATTCTCATCATTACAGTGTACACAATTTACTATAATAATTATTGTAGGCTTAAATGAAAATATTGCGGCCACGCGCAAATCTAACCAAATTTAGCCGCACCACCAGAAAATAGGAGGGGGCCGTATGGAGATGATTGGCGGGCCGCACTTGGCCCGCGGGCCGCCAATTGAATAGAGTACATATAGCACACTGAAAAATAGTGCTCGACTTGGCGACCCATTCAAAATCTTCCGCGACCCACCTTTAGTGTTTTATTTGATATTACATTTAAAGTTACCATTTTTTTACTGTACAAAATTGTATCTTTATCATTACAAAGCTATTTACAAATTACATGACATAAAATAGTATATTTAGTTTACCATAAATGTCTGTACAATTGACAGTATTTAATCATGTGGCAATGGCAGTGGATTTACTGGTTGAAAAAAAAGCCAAAAGAAACTTGGCTTGTTATATCGCAGTTAATTAAATGCCTCTGCAAGGGTTAGCAGAACTCAGGTGTGCTGGGAACAGTGCCATCAGAAAAGCACAGTCGGGTTGGTTTGTGAGCATTAATGCTGAGCGCCGGGAAAGAGTCACATTGCTGGCAAGAGGCATAGTGTGCTTGCTCAGTGCTTACAGCATCAATGATGGGAAAATCTACTGGATAAATGAGGTGTGATGATCTTTTAGCCTCCATCCTCCTGTGTGGTTTAGCCAAGGTTTTTTTTTTTTTTCCTTACAAGTGCATCTGTTGCTGACTGCGTTAGCTTTTTTGTTCATCCATGATATTTAAACTGCTACATGATGAATAATTAACAATGTGCCTGTGCAAATTAGACCAAATGCTGAATACAATCCTGAAGTTACAAATATATTTTATGTAATATATGTGTTTTAATTAAAGTATGTTTTAGTTTACCATATATGAATGGAGGTTGGAGCAGCAGGCTTCACTCAATGGTTACACTTCAATTTATTTTAAGAGTGCTGGCCTAATAATTAGAGTACACATATGGAAGAAAGAGGCCGCACTTTGCATAGACAGTTTATTTTACACAGTATATTTTTTTATTTTGTGTAAAATAAACTGTCTATGCAAAGTGCAGCCTCTTTCTTCCATATTAGTTTACCATAAATACATGCTTTGTCAATTCAGCTAATTGCCTTTAATATATAAATTTAAACTTTAGCACATTTTCATGTAATTGCAGTTACAACGCAGTGAAGTGTCTAAAAATATTACATTCATTTCACACTTTATTATATTCTTTTAAAGTCTTGTTAAAGTAATATTTCTCTAAGCACTGTTTTTGAAAGTATGCTAAAGTATACTCCTTTTTCACTTACAATGGGAGACTCACGGTATAAGGTACAATGCATTTCGCTGCCTGACACTCCAGCTTTTTTCAGCGTGAACAGGAATAAACATCTGATGTATTTATTTTCTAATCCTGAAAAGGGGTTACCGGACTCGTTCAGCTAGATGAGAATGGTGATCGGGAGATTGACTTTGCTCTATGGGACATGACTGACACAAATACAGGAGTTTATCAGGTACAGAGCCCTTCATCTGATCACAAACACCTTTTCATATTTAAAATACATAACTGTCTAAACCCACCTCACCACTGCTGAAATGATTGCTGTGTGTCTTAGATTGTGTCAGTGTATAATGGCAGTCAGAAACAGATGATTCCAGAGCCAGGGATGAAGGTGCACTGGCTGAAGGGAAGTCCGCCTCCAGATAGGCCTCTGTGTGGGTTCAAAAACGAGAACCCTTCCTGCCTGGCAAGTAAGTGCAGACCCATATATAACTCACACAGCAATAGATCTGTATGAAAAGACATTCATTTGGCTATAAATTACACATATTTCATACATACATTTGGTGTATCGTTTTGCTAAGTAATGTTTATCATTGTAATTTACTGCAATGTTTTAAAGTAGAATCTGTGCAATCAGCTTTGAAATGAAGACTGTAGTGACCAGACAAGTGGCTTGAAACACACGGAGTTAGTGATTAACTTGATAATTAAATCAAGGAATGTTCCATGTTGTTTTAATGCTGCTCTATGATCTCACGTAATTAAGTTTAGGTTAATAACAGATCCAAAAATACCACATAGCAGTTCATCATTATTGTGGGGGCTTCGTTTTCTCTGTGGTCTCATCAATTTTTAAAATTAAAATCCTTGTTTTTTTTTTGCTATTTCTGTGAATGGGTAAACCAGACTTACTGTAATATGCTCTGGTTAAGATCAGGCACGTCAAGCATACCAATTAGTGGATTGCAGCATACAAATGATAGGATACGATGGAAACCAACTAATAGCTCAAAACATAACAGAATTCATCAGATCCATCTAATACTCACTAATGTTTGTTTTGTTTTCCCATCAAAATTGTTACTTCCTGGAGGATGATGTCATTAAGGACCCAGATCGAAATGTTTCATATTAAAATCCACATTAAAAAAATGTGGGATTGGTAGGATTTTTAATGCTTTTTTAAAAGTCTCTTATGCTCACTGGGTCAGCATAATAAGACACATGATGAAAATATGAAATGTACCGCATTGTGGAAATGACCCATCTGATTAAGATTTAGTCCTTTGTCAAGAAAAAAGTTGCCTACTCAGCAGTTAACATCCCTCATGGTATATTGTGAAGTTCTCATTGAAACTATGATTTCAAATACTGAATAAAATGTACAGTATGAATAAATGACAGAATAAAATGCATGAAATGATTGCAGCAGGTTAGATCACTTAGCTGTCTCTGTGAAATATAATGAAATTCAGATGTGTGGACATTGTGTTCTTGGTTTTGTTCCTCAGAGACGGTCACCATGCACCAGATGATCTCCATAGTGGTGTGCTTCATTTTTATCATCATCGTAACGGTCACAGTCTTCATATACAGGTCAGTTGAAAACCGTGCAGGTGAACACAGTGTCTATACTGAGAGTGAGCGACATAACAAATTTGAAGCTTTATTAATTATAACATAAGCGTTCTTGTTTTTGTTGCATTATTGGCCTGCAGTGTAGACATAGTGTAACACTACATGTCAGGTGTACAAATACTGATCTTTGGGTGATATGGGTCTGATATATTATATCTCTGTCTTTCTCCTCTATCTGTTCCTGATGTTTAATTAGGGAACATACTGCCAGACCACGACAGAGACAGATATAGCAGCTCATTCTACATCTTCATGACTTCATCAATTTATTTGATATGTTGCCATGTATCCAATGATAATGAAATGCATATGATTTCTGTTAAATTCATGCTGAGGATTGCGATTAATAGGATAATTAATATTAGCTGGATCTGATTTTTGAGGGGGTCATGACACCCATGCAAATTACGCCCATGACCTTTGTTCATCTCCAGAACACAAAGTAAGATATTTTTGATTAAATCCAAGAGCTTTCTGACCCTCTATAGACGGCAACATTATTACCACTTTCAAGGCCCAGAAAGGTAGTATAGAAATCATTAAAACAGTCTTAAAATGCTGTTGCTCACTTTTTAAATGACAAAAAAATCGAACTGCAGTGTTCACACTACCTTTATAGGAACAATATATGTTAATAAATTGTCTTATTATTAATTGTATTAATTATGTATTAATGTCTGCATGCTTTAGTCATTATATAATATTAATCCTGTAAAAATGCTTATATTTCTAAGAATAAAATATCAAAGTTCTTGGCCTCTGAAGGATATTTGATCTATTATTACATGTGCCATTTAAATATTCCATTGCTGATAGTGACACACATATTGGCTTGTCTTATTTAACGTATATCTTTAACGCGGGTCTGTTATTCTCCTTTGTCCTTTTTATCTGATGTTTCCCCCATTGCATCCCTTCTCTCATTGTCCCTCTCCTCTGCATATTTATACTCTTCTTTCTTTCTCTCTCTGTCTCTTTCTCTGCCTGTCACTCGGCGGGCATCAGGAAGCTGAAGCTGGAGAACGAGTTGACCGCTCAGCTGTGGCGTGTGCACTGGGAGGACATTCAGATGAGTAACATGGAGAAGGTGCTGCGCAGAACCTGCAGCAAACTCACCATCTCAATGGTGAGGGGGAACACACTGCCATTTCTAAGAGTTTACAATAGTTTACGTGAACATATTCATGTCTTACTTCTCTTTCCACACACAGAGAGGCTCGAACTATGGCTCACTGCTAACTATGGATGGAAACTTCCAGATCTATGCCAAGACTGGCTACTACAAGGTATTAAAGATTTGGTGGTTAGGGCTTGGATTGCCCACTGGGTCCATTAGGTCACATTCGAATCTCATTATCTTTTGTCTTTTTTTTAAATAAAATGTGTAGTTTTGTACATCTGATTGGAGGATTTTCAAAATTTTGATCCTGGTTCTGGTTCAAAATCTTGATCCGAGTTTTTTTTTTCAACCCCGTAAGACTTTGTAACACAAATAAAGATATTTATAAAGAAATCTGAGAGCTGTCTGACTAATTGCATTCTGCCGGCCTAGAAAAGTGAAAGACATTGTTAAAATTGTCCAAGTGACTACAATGGCTTAACCTTAAAGGGATACTCCACTTTTTTTTGGAAATAGGCTCATTTTACAACTCCCCCAGAGTATAATTTTTGAGTTTTACCATTTTCAAATGCATTCAGCTGATTTTTTGATAATTAGAAGAATATCAGTAACCAGAAAAAAAATATACAATGGAAGTCAATGAGACCAGAAACTGTCTGGTTACTGATATTCTTATAAATATCAGAAAATTGACTGAAAGGATTGGAAAACAGTAAAACTCGACTGTTTAACTCTGGGGGAGTTGTAAAATGAGCCTATTTCCAAAAAAAAAGTGGAGTATCCCTATAAGTTTATCAAGTTATTAGAATTTAGCATTTTTAGCGACTTTATTCAACTATTAATTTTCTTGGACCTCTGACATGAGTTTACGAGAGCGCCACCACGCATGCGCGAGAACTGAGAAGATAAATTGAACCATATTTTAAAGACAATAGAATTTTTTTTCTGAAATTACATATGATGTATTTACAGTAAGTCCCAAGGTCGAATTGGCTCTCTAATGTTTTTTGCTAATTGCATTTAACATAAATTTAAGCTTTAATACATTTCCATGCAATTGTTTGAAATCAGTTTGCAAATAAGTTTATTCTTTTGGAAGTACATTGTTTCTTTAAAAAGCACTATTTTTAAGAGTATCCTAAATTGTACTTCTTTTCCCACAATGGATGAAAATACACAATGAGGAGTCAAAATAAGAGGTTTATTATTTAGCCATTCATTCAAATACATTCATTCATTCCCTGTTTTATTAATTACTGTTTTTTTACACTTAAAAATATCCTGATTAGCAACTGACATGTCAAATAATGGTCTTTAGTACCTCCATAATACTTGCCCAGGCTAATGGCCTGTTCTTCATCTGTTGAGCTAGCTCCCCTCCAATTTAGCAGTAACCCCTGAGAATGAGTGCTATTTATGTCCACGTGTCATCATTTTCTCCATTAATTAGGATAGTGCTTAATTAACAGGATGGTGCTCTTTTTTTCTCGTGAATGAAGTATTTCTTTTTTCTCCAAAAAGTCCTCAGACTCTCTGCTAAGCCCACAGCAGCAATCAGGGTGAAACTAATGTGCATTGCTGCCTCTTTTCCAGGGAAACATAACAGCCATTAAGTATGTCAACAAGAAGCGCATTGAGCTCACCAGGAAAGTGCTGTTTGAACTCAAACATGTAAGTGTGTGTCCATGCCGTTTTGTGTTTTTTGCCAGGTGCCTTCGTCATAATTAAGTTTATATGATGTTCTGGGAGATATTAATAGCTGAGGACTGATGGAAAAGAGGGGCTAAACGTCTCTCTCTCTGTAACTCTCTCTCTCTCTCTCTCTGTCCATTACTGTTATAGATGCGAGATGTTCAGAATGAGCACCTGACACGCTTTATCGGCGCTTGTATCGACACACCCAACCTCTGCATCCTTACTGAGTACTGTCCTCGAGGCAGCTTACAGGTAAACACGACTATCTGTGTATTAATAGATGGCTCATATTTATACCACACAAGGGCTCAACAATAAGGATTCCAATTTTTACTTACCTTGCCAGTATTTTCCCTGCATGTGTGCATGCATGCATGCATAAATAAACAAATGAATAATTAAACGTGTTTTTATACCATCACATACAATATAAGCTCTTCTCACTATAACTATAACAAATATTCTATTGTTTTGCTTTAAACGATTCCAGATGATGAATAAGGGTCTTATCAAGCGAAACGATCACTCATTTAATTTTTTTTTATTTTTTTTTTAAGTTTTATAAGCTCAAATGGTCGCCTCTGTTCTGTGTGAGTCTCCTGTTCGAACTCATTCATCAAAATGAACAAATCTTTTTCCGAGTCAATTCGGTGATTTCATTCGTTGAATGAACCAAATGACTCGAAAAAAGATTCATTCATTTTGATGAATGAGTTCGAACAGGAGAGTCAAGAACGCGCATCACAGAACAGAGCAAGGGGAGCATTTGAGCTTATAAAACTTAAACTTTTTTTTATTAAATGAGCGATCGTTTTGCTTGATAAGACCCTTATTCATCGTCTGGAATCGTTTAAAGCCCTTTGAACAGTTTGTAGTTTGCACTGAATCGAACTGTTCGAACTCAAAAAACATTGAACATTTTCCTCCGGCCGGTAAACACCTTTTCCACTACCATTGGTCCATCCGTGGCCATAACGTAATAGTCTTTATAGTCGATAAGATCTTTTCTGCTTCATTTCCACTATTCACTCATTCGAAGTCAGACGTCCACGATAAAACATGAAATCTATTGTATGAAGTGCTATAAATAAACATGACATCATTTGTGCCAAAGTGCAGAGCTTGTGTAAAAATATCCACATTGCTATGATTAGATGCTTTTCTTATGCTTTATTAGAAAAAATAATGCTTGCTATTTTCTTAGTTTTGTAGTGTTTATTTTGTTAATAAGAGGAAAGCGTGCTACACATTTTTACATATTCATCTAACCGCCTTTCTCAGCGGTCTGGATCGGATGTTTGCTGACAGTATGTAGCTGGTCACGTATTTCGAACTTCGTTTTACCCCCAAAAAAGAACTTGTGTTTATATCGAGGCCTTTAATTATACCCAATACCTAAACTTAACAAGTACCTTACTAACTATTAATAAGCAGTAATAAGGAGAGGCAAAAGTTGTATTTAATAGTTTAAAGCGTGTTATTTGTGACCTGTAGGACCTCATGGAAAGTGAAGGAATCACACTGGACTGGATGTTCCGCTATTCTCTGATCAATGACATTGTTAAGGTGAGCGCTTCACCTTCTTCACTTAAAGATGAAAATTCTGTCATCAGTTACTCACCCTCATGTTGTTCCAAACCCATTAGTCTTTCGTTCATCTTTGGAACACGAATGAAGATATTTTTAATGAGATCTGAATTTCTATTGAAACTATCACTTTGACCCTTTAAAAAGTTCATAAAGAGATCGATTATTCAATTATTGGATTTTAGTTTTGCGATTTAGTCCAAATTTTCTTTATGAACTTTATGAAGCGTCAAATTGGTGAGAAAATAAATCTCTCAGATTTCATTAAAAAATATCTTAAAAATTTCTGTTAATAGTTGTATAGATTAAAGGAACTATCCCTTTAATCTCGGCTGCAGAAGGAAAGGGATAGATGCCATGCTGTTTTAATGTTTCAACACTAAAATATAACTATGAATCTACAGCAAACTGCTCTACATCTTTTAAAATACTGTTCTTGGTTTGGTATTATGTGGTGAGACGAGTGCAATTTGAAGGATGTTTCCTTTCCTTCATCCTTTATGAGGATGTCGATTCCCTGACTGGCAAATTATGACTCCAGAAAGCATTATTGCAGTTGCAAAAGAGTCGTTAATTAATATTTTCGTGGTGCGGTGTTGGTAAATACGATGGATGCTGTCAGATGTCTTTGTAAGAGTGTCATCTTTTCACCACTCAGGGAATGGCGTTCCTCCACAACAGCGTCATTGTCTCTCATGGCAACCTGAAGTCTTCCAACTGCGTGGTGGACAGCCGCTTCGTGCTGAAGATCACAGATTACGGTCTGGAAAGTTTCCGCAAGGAGAACAACGTGGAGGACCTGCACGCTTTCTATGCACGTGAGTACCGTGGCAACGCGTACGTAGATATAGAATGTCCATGTAGAGAAGCCTGTAATATATCAGTGTTTACATATGTAGGCCAGCTGTGGACAGCCCCCGAGCTTCTGCGTGCCGACAACCCACCAGCATGCGGAACACAAAAGGGTGACGTCTACAGCTTTGGCATCATCCTGCAGGAACTCGCCCTGCTGAAGGGCGTCTTCTACCTGGAAGGTCCCTGTCTCAGCCCCAAAGGTCAGAGCTCACACACACCTCAACATGTTATTTTTGTGTTCAGACCAATTAATTGATTCAAAATTCATTCAAATGTAATCCATAAATACAATCACGTCCATACACCTCTTCTGGCATATTTTTAATTTCTGAATTCAAATTAATTTAGATTTTTTTGATGGGCTTAAAGTCTGAAAATATCAGGGTGATACAACTGTTCTGATATTGTATTTTAGAAATGTCATGTGCTGCAACTCCCCAAATTAATAGTATTTAATTAATATATATATATATATATATATATATATATATATATATATATATATATATATATGAAGAGTTCAGATGCAAAAGCCTCTAAATGCCATTTGAAATTTTCTTCTTTAATGATGATTTTTATCAAACTTGTATATTTAAGTTCAGTAATTTCACTTAAATGGCTAATGATAATGATATGATAATTACCTATTAATTGTTATTTAAGTGAAATTACTGAACTTAAATATACAAGTTTGATAAAAATCATCATTAAAGAAGAAAATTTCAAATGGCATTTAGAGGCTTTTGCATCTGAACTCTTCATATATATATATATATATATATATATATATACAGGGTGTGATTTGCGGGGGGGATAAAAAATATTTTTTGATAAAAATATTTGCTTAATTATTTTTATCAAAATTATTTAATTATAAAATTATTTTATTTGGGAATACGAATATTGCAGCATCACACACACGAGAATGGTTAAGCCGATGATTATGCAGGTGAGAGTGCTTTCTCATTTAGCTCTTTGATGTGAATCAAAACAGCATTAAAATGTGTTAATAAGACATAATAAGACAGCTAATTCACCTCTCTCTCTCACACACACACTTTGTGAGCAAGATGAAAATAACTTTCCAAAAGTCAGTAAATTTCCCAAGGCTTAGAGGCATTTGTAAAAAAAATAAAAAAAAAGGGTGTTCACATTTCACACTTGAAATGTCATTACATATCCAAATATCAATTCAACTGGCATTTATTTTAAAGGTTACAGGTAACACCAGCATATTTAGGTTGTAAATATAACACCAGGCGATTGTAAAAATGGCTCAGAAATGTGAATTTGGGAAAGGTTTGAGCAGCATTTGTTTTCCTGCAATGATATTAACACACTTTTAAGTGTGCGGTATGCCAATAAATACACTCACAAATACATTCAATAGAGATATGGATTGTAAGTTATAACACACAGTCACATTAACTCAGCAATATCACACGAACTCATAAACATATCACTACATATCAGCGGCTGCATTAAAGAAAGACAATAAAACATTAGCGGCACATCTGGAGCAGTGCCAGCTCACCGTGAGAACAAATGGATTCAAAGACATCAATGAGAGAATGACAGAGACAGATAGATAAAGTGATTGTTTGTTTGAGTGGCAACAATGCCTCAAACAAAAGTGTGAGTGAGATCGAGGCAGGACTATGTGCTTGATGAACAATGGCTAACGGTCGTGGAAACTTGTTTGAACCACACTTGTATATATAAATAAGCTACAGCCACGTCGAAAGCGGTTCATCCAATCGTATTTTAGAGCCAGCAATGCACTTAAAGGTCTAAGAATGAAGATAAAGAAGCTTTTATTTGACATATTCCCAAGTGTATTGAGACAGGAAGGTCCTGTCATCATCACTCGCATTGATTGCTGTGGAGACCAAGGTCAACTCAAAACCTGTGAATGACACTTTCATCTCTTTTACTCACACCAGCAGGGAGTCTGTTCCTGCTCCTGCTGATCATTCAGTTTTTTCTGTAAAATTTGATATGCTAACTCTATTTTCTAATCTATGCATGTTAGTTCCTGTGTGATAGAGAGTTGTGTAACTCATTGTGCGGAGAATGTTCATTTACATGTTCCGTCTGTGATTTGTGGTTCAGAGATCATAGAGCGTGTGGTGGAGGGCCGGTGGCCGTACCTGCGTCCACTGCTGTGTCCTCAGAGCCACAGCGATGAGATAGGAGAGCTGATGCAGCGCTGCTGGTCAGAAGATGTCAACGAGAGGCCAGACTTCAGCCAGATTAAAGTCCTGCTCCGCAAGAATAACCGGTACTTGAAACACAACTAGTTAAAATTATTTTATTTTGTGGAAATCTGCATGCACTGCCCATGCGGCAGACAGAGTACACAGCTTTATTACTTGAGTAAAAGTAAATTTTACTCAAGTACAACAGTCAGATGTCTACTTGAGAAAAAGTACTGAGGTACTTGTTTTTAAAAGTACATTTTCTAAATATTGCATTACCTGCCACAGTGCTTACATTTATGAACACAAACGTCCTACATGGAGTTATGAAAAATGTTAATATTAATATCTTGGAGAATGTAAAAGGAATGGAAAGTAAATTCAAGTCATTTTCATCTTTTTACCGTGTTGCTTTATTTAACATTTATGAAAATTTCTGAAAATTCAGAAAATTGAAATAGTCTGGTGAGGTGGGGCTCATTCCCGGGATGGACCTGCTGCGTCTTTATCCAATGTTTCGTCCATGGTTTCATCTCTTATCTAAATCTGACCATGGAGTTGACTTTTGCTATTCTAAATGGTTTTAATTTACTGTATTTTATTTTTATCATAATTTTTATTTTTCATTATTTCTTATTTTTTATTCTAAACTGTTTTAATTATTCTGATTTCTTTTGATTATTTTAATTTCTTCCATGTAAAGCACTTTAAATTTCCATTGTGTATGAAATGTGCTAAATAAACTTGCCTTGCCTTGCCTTTTGCGGAAAGCTGATTGCTGATAGGCTGTCCCAATCAGTGGCACCTGCACAATCAAATCACGTTTGAGAGGGAAACAACAAATTGAGGGTTTCCGAGATTTTTCTTTTTTCCATTTAAAAAAACAAAACATTTATGAAGTAGTAACGGGTACTCGCGGTTATGGATAGAAATGTAGTGGAGTAAAGAGTACAATATTTCCCTCTCAAATGTACTTGAGTAAAGTCATGAGTACTTCCCAAAAATGATACTCGAGTAAAGTGAGAGTAAAGATCCCTCAAAATTGTACTTAAAGGGATACTCCACTTTTTTTGAAAATAGGCTCATTTTACAATTCCCCGAGAGTTAAACAGTCGAGTTTTACCGTTTTCGAATCCATTCAGCCGATTTTCTGATATTTAAACCGAAAATGTATTTTTTCTATTTTTACCGAAAACGGTAAAACTCAACTGTTTAACTCTGGGGGAGTGGTAAAATGAGCCCATTTCCAAAAAAAGTGGAGTATCCCTTTAAGTACTGTACTCCGATACTGTCCGGCTCTGGATCAGACACACATTCACATCTCATCTCTGCCTCACCTTCTCTGTTTTGGCCTCAGTGGATATGGTTCCAACATCCTGGATAACCTCCTGTCCCGTATGGAGCAGTATGCCAATAACCTGGAGGAGTTGGTGGAGGAGAGGACGCAGGCGTACCATGAGGAGAAACGTAAAGCTGAAACTCTCCTCTATCAGATCCTCCCACAGTGAGTCCCACACATACACTGCCCTACAAAGGCAAAAGACCTTATCTCACTAGAGTGTGGAACTGAGAAAAATGACTTTTTAGTTGTCCCGCCAAATTAATTATAGGTAGGACACTGAAAATCTGGCAATTAGATGTTTAAGTAATGGAAATTATCTACAGTACATAACATTTTTAGTTCAAACTGAGAGGACTACAGACCTCCTTTTTCAGAGTACTTACATTTTAATTATGTATTGGTATATATAGACAGTTTAAACAAACTTGGGAAAAAGTTTTTAGGTTACCTAAAAATCATTTAAAGGTTACCCCACCTTTAAATGATTCATACAAAGTGATGTGCACAGATTTTATACAAGCAACTGCAGTGGAAGGCATCTTTTAGCTTTTTTTTTGGTCAATTGTGCTTTTCTCACTGTCATGAGGTGTGTTTTTGTTTCAGCTCAGTGGCTGAGCAGCTGAAGCGAGGTGAGATGGTGCAGGCAGAAGCCTTTGACTCGGTCACCATTTATTTCAGTGACATTGTGGGCTTCACCGCATTATCAGCTGAGAGCACACCAATGCAGGTAAGAAAACCTCAAGGAGATGCACGGAAATAATTAGATGCTAATTTTGTAGTTTACTGCGACAATCATGAGTGCAGTATTGAGTTAAAACAGATTATCTATTTGTACATGCCACAGGTGGTAACGGTGCTGAATGACCTCTACACTTGTTTTGATGCAATCATCGACAATTTTGATGTGTACAAGGTAATTCCAGGCAGTCATTACATTCAGCATTTGTTCAGCAACATGAGCGCTTGATTAGTTTAAGTGGTTTTGATGCATCTCACAATCAGTGAGCCGATTATGGAAATAATACACTTTAAAAGGAATATATTTAAAGTTGCAACTGACTTTATTTCAGTTTTGTGAAGTTTTTTCTGAGTAGAGTGAAAATAGAGGGTGTGGCTTGTTTTTTTTCCACTGGGAAAAACACACTTTATAAGCCCTTTCTGTTAGTCAACACATCAAAATAAGTGTACTTCTTTAAAGGGGTAACTAACCCTAAACCAAACCCATATCCCATTATACAGTCCATGTTATAAGTACATGTTGTTTATTAATATTACTCATTCTTTATTTGTATAATTACAGTGTAAAAATGGCACGTTAAAATGAAGTGTATTGAAATGTAAAATATTGTAACACTTCATTTTAAAGTGCCCTTGTTACACATTACTAATTTCGACAAATATGTGTATAATTGCATGCAACTAACTCTAAACCAAACCCTATAGTAAGTACATAACATTTTATTTTACAGTGTCCTTGTTACATTACATGTAGTCTCCATACTATAAAACATACTTGTAATACACCACGAGTGCATGTTCATTAGGATCATCAAATGCACTTCTTGTTTCCAAGGGTAATGATGTGTTTTTGTGTGGCGCCCCCAGGTGGAGACCATCGGCGATGCATACATGGTGGTGTCGGGACTTCCCGTGAGGAACGGGAAACTGCATGCACGCGAGATTGCCCGCATGTCTCTGGCTCTGCTGGAGGCCGTTCACTCCTTTCGAATCCGCCACCGACCCAGCCAGCAGCTCCGCCTACGCATCGGCATCCACAGCGGTGAGGATCATGGGATATGATACTCTGGCACGTATGTATCTGTTTGTTCATGACTGACTGTAATGGAAAGGTTTGACTGGTGGTAATATGTGTCCAGGTCCTGTGTGTGCAGGGGTGGTTGGTTTGAAGATGCCTCGGTATTGTTTGTTTGGCGATACAGTCAACACATCTTCACGAATGGAATCCAATGGAGAAGGTGAGGTGCCTCCAGACTTTTAAAGGGGGTCATATTCTACACTTTTGTCCATTTAATATGTTCGTGAAGGTTTTTTCACTGTAGTATTTGTAATTTACACTACTATTAAATGTTGGGGGTCATTTCTTTTCTTTTTTTTTAAGAAGTATTTTATGCTCGCCAAGACTGTATTATTTGTACAGTAAAAAACAGTAATACTTTATTGATAATTCATACTATTATATATTCAATTATTATTTTTTAAATTGCATATACCTATGATGCAAACCTATATCTATAGTATAATTTCTCTTCAGTGTCACATGATCCTAAATGCTGATTTTCTGCTCAAGAAACATTTCTTATTATTGTCATTGTTGTAAACAGTACATATTTGTTGTGGGAACAGCAATACATTTTAGCGGTCTTTAAAGTTAAAAATCTTTTGTAACATTATTAATGTTTTTACTGTCACTTTTTTGATGAATAAAAGTAGTAATGTCTTTTAATAAATAAATAAAATGTTACTGATCCTGAACTTTTGAACAGTTGTGTGGTTAAAAATGATAATTTTGCACCCTCTTTCTGGCGAATGGAATGAAACTCATTTTTTACTACTGCATCTTTAAAAATGATATATATAAATGATCTCTATTATGATTGGTTAATCAGTGGGGAACCATAATAACCATATAATATACAAAAATATAGTAATAAGTAAGAGTATTATCCTGGGAAGAGCGATGACAATTGATGTGGATGATGAATAGCTGTTAATATTTACATATGTTTGGTCATATTGGTCATTTAGTTTCAGTCATTATTTAGCAAGGATCATTAAATTGATCAAAAGTGACATTAAAAATATTTATACATTTAGAGGTCAGTCTCATTTTTGCTTTTTATTTTATATAAATGATCATTTATTATAAAAAATTATAAACTGCATTTCTTAAACAATATAATGAACCTTAGTTACAGTATTTAATTTGATGCAAAAACAATTTTTTTTTACTAATCTACTGTGTACTGCTACCTCTTCCATCAGCCCTGAAGATCCATGTGTCAGAAGCCACACAGGCCATACTGGAGGAGTTCAACTGCTTCCAGCTGGAGCTCAGAGGGGATGTGGAGATGAAGGGAAAGGGACTGATGAGGACGTACTGGCTGCTAGGAGAGGTCGACTCCGACAATGCCTAAAAACTGACTGACTGAGAAAAAGAGCTACAAAACAAACACATCTAAACAAATACTGGGACAGTGTGGAACGCTGCAGCCCTTCACTGGGACGAACTAGACTTATTCATCTTTCATCTCCCAATGTTTCGTGTTATTGCTTCATGGGAATCTCGCTATGACTGGTTTTGCCAAAGTAAACTCAAAAGGAAAAAACAATACTTGAGCAGAATGGTTTAGAAAATGGATGATGACGTGACACTGCTGGTGTGATATCATACCCTTCTGGGTCTTAAAAATATCGTTTTGTCGTGATAGGTCTTTGTCCAGACTTTTTAAAGCAGTCATCACGAGTTGTTCGGGTCTTTTAGTTGTCGTTCAATGATTCAGTGCTGTTGTAGTCCCTGTAGTTCTTTTTTTTTTTTTTTGTTGTTGTTATCCATGTGAAATGTTCTTGATTCCTGCTCTGGGATGCAGTGATTCAGAGTTCAGTTCAAAACTCTTCCATCTGCCAAAACTGATCCAGAGAGGTTTGAACCACAGATTAAAGTTACGCACAAAAGAGAAATAATAATTAATGTCAAGTATTAAGAAAGCATAGAAATGTTCAATAATGGATTTTGCTCTCAGAGCTCAAGACCATTTCCCTGCAGAAATCCGCAAATATTGGGATAGGTTTACATGACAACGATGCTCTTAAAACATAAAGGTTTTTCCTTTGTGTTTTTTGCATGCAGGATCTCAAAATCATCATGTTATCAAAATGATTAAAAAAGAAACACTGTAAAGAAACACTACGCACCTATAGACTGAAAACGCAGGTACATGACGTCACCGTTCCCACAAATGTGTGCTTCTGTAGTTTACACTGAGACAATAATGTGTACATGAATGGCCAAAACGCATACAAAAAAAACAGTGTTTCAGCTAAAACTAGCCCAGGGATGTTCTTCATTTAATTGCAGGATTTTCTCCTCAAAGTCAAGAAATGGCCACATTTAACTTCCGTAAAGTGACAAATGGAACTTGATTTTATCCATCACGATCGAATTTGATCACTTGGATTGTTGTTGGTTAATATTATTTTTGCTGCATTTATGAAATTAGATTCCACTCTGATTCGTTCTTGTGCTTGGTCTTAAAAATTGGGGTGAGAAAAGTACTGATACTTTTATTCAGCAAGGATGCATTAAAATGATCAAAGTAACAGTAATTTTAATGTTACAAAAGAAAGATCTATTTCAAATAATTTTTCATCAGGAAGTATTTTTTTAAAAAATTAGTTTCAACAAAAATATTAAGTAGAATCAATATTGATGAGAAATGTTATAATTACATTCATGTAAAGATATTTCACAAGGTTACTATTATCTTTTTACTGTATTGTTGATCAAATAAATGCTGCCTTGTTGAGCATAAGGAACTAAATCTTACTAGCCCTAAACCTTTGAACAGTGGTATAGATTATGGCAAAATATGTCATTATTTGGGCTGTCAAACGAGTAATCGCATCCAAAATAAAAGTTTGTGTTTACATAATATATGTGGGTGCACTGTGTATAATTATTTGTATATATATATAAATACACACACATGCATGTATATTTAAGAAAAAAATAATATTATTTATAATAAAATATTTAAAAATCTATATACATGAAAATATTTCTTAAATATATACAACCATATATGTGTGTGTATTTATGTATATATATATATATAAAATAATTATACACAGTGCACCCACATATATTATGTAAACTTTTATTTTGGATGCGATTAATCGTTTGACAGCCCTATTATGTCACTCCTGTATTCTCTTGCAACATATTTAAGAACAAAGAAAGTATGTGAAAAACAGCTTTAATAAAACAAGACCAATAATGATTCATTCAGCTGAATGTGTAGACATTTGAAATATGTACTTCCTTTAAGTTGAAGCTGCTACCATTTTAATTGTTTTACCCATAATACCATGTTTCTAACTTGCAATTATGCGAACAACAAAGATGTGAACAGTTTTCAGAAGCCGGAAACTTAGAATTATGGTGATTCAACTACAATATTGTGACATTTTAATGGATTATGAAAACATCTCTTCAGAATGTGATGAATGTGGATTAGAGCAGGAATAATACAATATAAATAAGTACATTTTGACTTGTGTTTTCAATAAGCATAATATCTTTGTTGGGTTCACACCTCCCTGTGTCTATAAGCTGAGATAATGAGGATTTGGACAGCAACTTTTCCTGTTGCGATGACACCTCCTGCTGAGCCATCAAATCTCACTGTGGGTCAGAGTCATCTGTTACATTTCGGTACCGTCCCAAATCTTTGATCCATTCCCTGTGCCGATGACTGCGTACATTACATCTGAGAGGAAACAGTCCAACAATTCTCTAATGGCATTAAAAGCTTCGGTAATAAATAATGATGAATGTCTGTACCATGGATTTAAATACATGCAGTGTTTTCTCACTTCACTTATCTTCTGCTGTGACAACTCTCAGTCAAACTGTAGCAATGCACCATGTGGACATGATGGAGGACGTCCTGTGTCATGAGATCCTGATTGATAATGTCAGATGTACAGTTTAAGATGCAGCTCTTCTTGCTTTCCTGTTCGGAGGGCATGAATTATGATTGCAATGTTTTATCTGTCTTCTATGTGTGGTTTGGATAGCTGGGTCTGTGGGTGTCGTTTTTGGTATATTTACTACAATGTCTTCAAGTGAAGTTCAAATTGATTATTGTGTTTTTTTGGTTATGTTTGGGGGAGGTGGATTGTGTAATAATGTTAATAAACATTAAAAATACAGAGCTCTTACAAATTCATGTGGTATTTATCACAAAGTCAAGCTTTTGCATCTAAGAGGCAAGTGCTGTAATATTAGCACTATATATAGCGACCATTTATACTGGGGAAAATTGTTATGCGTGTTATTTTCTGTTAGCAAAAATCTTTACCTTTTCCATTTTTACAGTATAAAATGCATCTTAGTTGTTTTAATGTTTAAATGTTTCTAGAAAAATCATTCATGTACAATATTTTAAAGCTATGTTTTTAGATGGCCTTTTTAATTTTATTTCATATCAAACAAAGGTACACTTCTAGAGTCAGTGTCAAAAAATATCAGGTTTCCATTGTGACAACTTATCCCAAATACTCAAACAATATGCCCCGTTATAAGCTCAATGTGTTAAATGAGCTATATTTTAATATAAATATAATATATAAACAAACAAGGCATTGTGTGCGTACAAAAACTGATGCCTCACATGGCAGTGAAAAGGTCACTGTAAAAAATATTTTCATGATTTGTAATCACAACATTTTTTCTTTTGTCAAATCAACTTAGATAATTTATGTAGTTCAGATAACATAATATTTTGAGTTTCTGGTGATTAAATTAATCTCCTTCATTGTATTAACTCGTTTTTTCCATTTCAATGAACTTAAAATTTTAAGGCAACCAGGTTACTTATTTTTTTAAGTTAAACCAACAATATTTTTTTTACAGTGTACCTTTTATTTTATTTATTAAATTAATGTACTATATTTTAGTTTGATAATGTTTTTTTTTATTTTTTTAGGGGATGTTTATGGTACTAAATTATATTTATTGATCCATTTATTACCTGTTAATCACTTTTTTTTTTTAGCATAGACCTGAAAATGAAATTTTAATCAAATTGTCATAAATCATGTGGATTCCACGCCTGGAAGGATCTGGCCCGGATCTGGGCAGATAATATGTTGATGTCTCGGCAGACTTAAGTTTGGTATCTCTTTAAAGAAAATACTGAATTGCTGAAGTGAAATGAGTTTTTTTTTAATGTACACTTAAAAAAGTTATAGAACAAGCACAGCTGCCACCGGATAAACATCACCTTTGTCAAGGCCAGGGAACTGCCACATTCACAGTCCAAGCCGACAGCTGGGCTGTTCACCTCGGATTTGGGGCTAAAAGTCGATCTGGGGAGGTAGCTCAAGTTCACATCGTGGTAACTGGATTGAGGCTAGACGTGGTGCTAACATCAGCCACTTCAAAGCAGGTGCTCTTGATAGAGCTCGCCACATCGAACAGGCGAATGAACAGAAGTCCGAGTATCAGGAGTTAGGAGTGCAGAAGGCCGGAAAGCATGCTGGTCATTCTGGGCTGCAATAAGGAAAGCCATCAAGTCAGCTATGGAGGCTGCAGAAAGGCTGTGGCTTAAGAGGTCTGATCAACCCTGCTGGGTCACCTGGGTGAGGGCGTATGATGTTAAAAGACCAGAAACACCCCGGACCATCACTGAAAATGTGTCCCAGTGCATCCTAGGATGTATCTTTGATATGGAAGTTTAAGGTTATGAAATGTTTTAAATGTTGTTGTTATGCATAAATATATTATGCTTAAAAATTTCTAAAACTGTTAGAAAACCAGTTGTTTTTCAAATTTTTAGTTAAAAAAGATCTTTCAGTATTTGTTTCGGCGCAGTACCAAACGTTTCCACTAGATGAAATAGGCTACGCTTCCCTTTCGTTTCCAGTTTCCAATGCGGTCATCTTTTGACCACGATCAGTAGCTTACATATGTAATTTTTTTTCTTCTTTTTTCCCCCCGTAAATTATCGGTCAAGAAAATGACCGAACAGCACCAGGGGGTTAATTTTCATATATATTACAAATTAAATTATATACCTGCTGTTGTTAACCCATTTAAAAGTAAGCACGTGTGTGTCATTTGCATCCCATCCTTATTGTTTGAAATTTTCTATGTTGTTATTTGCATCCCATCCTTATTTTTACTGTCTGTCTGCGTTTTTACCCACATGTTTACACAGAAGCAGCGTTCTTGTCAAGTTCCACGGGCTTCTTTTTGTCTAACGGGTGTCGTGACAGTGCCATCACGGTGATTGGTCAACTGCCACGTCAATCAAAATGCCCAGTTCGCGATTGGTATAAATGGGTCTTTTCGCTCCACCTTCACTCCGCGTTCGGAACACTTCCGCTAGGCCACCATGCCCTGCGGAAGTTGAATTGTTACAGTTGGACACTGTGGAAACACTGGAGTGGTCGCGCGAAGGTGGCGAATTAAGAGTCGTAAACACACTGTAGGCACCTAGGACTGGGCGGAGAGAGGGTTAACTAGTTCATAAGCCCCACAGTCCCACGTAAACAGTGAAAGTGGGGTTTTAAACAGCGCCCTAAACCCCCGCCAGGTCCCGTGAGTGTGGGCGCAGTGAGGCGGGAGGAGATGGAGCCCTCGCCGGCTAAGGGTAAAGCACAGGGTCGCCTTCTGGTGTCCACCAGCCTGGACGCCAAAGATGAGCTGGAGGAGGTAGGGATCGACTCATTCCCTTTGGCCGTTAACTTCGTCCTGAACAACACACATTTGTGAAGAAAAACATTTTGAAAACAAAGTACAATAACAAAAGGACAAGCAGAATTGAGAAGTTGACACTACCAGACTTGTAGGATCACTCAGAACAGGGTTGCTAGTTGCAGGGATGGCTTTTGTCCTCTTTTATCTTTAATTTATTTGAAGATTAAAATGTAAAGGAAGGAATTGCTACAGCAGTGTAAACATGATCTGTGATGAACACAATGATGTGACTATGGCATATATGTACTAAATGACAGCTGATGGTGTCAGTGATTCTCCATCTGCTGGGAAAGGTTTTAAACAGTGATGCAGTCATGTCCTTCAATTGAGATTAGACTATTTATTTATGAACATTAAATAGATACTAGATAGATAGATAGATAGATAGATAGATAGATAGATAGATAGACATTTCAGCCAGATTTAAGATACATAGATAGATAGATACATAGATAGACATTTTAGCCAGATTTAATGGTGAAATAAGTATGAAACAGAAATGTATACAAAAACTACATTTACATATATTTATGAAAAATATGCTTTTTAGTAAGCAGTGATGTATTATGGAATTTGGTTGTATTTTAATATAATCAAAATTGTCAATTACATAGTACTCAATTATAATTAAATGCATTATTATTAATTATATTAGTGTAATTGTAAAATTATGATTATTGTTGTTGCATTTGTAATTGTTACATTGATTATAACATTAATATGTTAAAAAAAATGTCTTAAAATAATATTGCTTGTTCTCCCATTCGATCAAATGTATGTTTTATTAACTACAGTATTATTTAGTTTTTGACATTCATGCATGCATCTGTGTGTGTTTCAGCGCCTGGAGAGGTGTGTGAGCATCACCACGTCTATAACCAATGGCCTGTCAGAGCGGGAAGCCAATGATGCCATCACTGCTCATGTGAGTGTTTATTAGTCACACATCCACCTAAAATAACTCGCATCAGGATTCCCACATCATAAAAATGTTAACGCATAATGGAATTTTAAAGTTGTGAGTTTTCAGGACATAATAGAAATTAGTAGAAAACTAAATTTTGTTCTTTTTTGCTTATCCGTTGACACT